GTATCCAACTGGTCTTCGTCCTGGAGCTCCATCATCTTGATCACCTGGGCCACGGAGGCTCCCGCGAAGGAAACAGCGATGGTCTTGCACAGTTCTTGATCAGATCTCTCACCAAGCTCTCCCCTACAATCAGATGACGACTCCCAGAAGGAATCATTTGATGAGTGGCGGCAGGGTTCCAGCTCATGCTATTGAGGCAGGCTTGGGGGTGGCCGCGGTCACCTGCACGAAGAAGTTCAGAACTCCAAGGTTCTTCCTTATGTCCACGACTCGCGACTTTAAGGTGGTCTCACTGCGTGTTGAACCAGTATGCGGCTCTCGCCCTGAGCTACCCGTTGAGCGGTCAGTGCTTTGGGTGGGAACGACCCCTCTGCTGATTTGGTTGATTTCGTCAATCGATGCTGTGGCTACTTACTCGAACGTCTCTTGTAATTGTGGGCAAGTTAGGTGTCCGAGGGGTCAGGTATGGTATTCCTAGAACTCTATGCAGGCGAGGATGCCTGAGGAGGGGCCACGGGCTCCCTAGCTTCGCACAGCTCCTGTGCTCTCATCCTGGACTGCGTGTCCTTGGACCCATCCGAATTCATTGTCGCCAGGACTTCTGGTGACAACCTACTCACCTTCGCCATTTAAAGATCCTTCAGGTGTTCGATCACTTTTTCCTTAAGAGCTTACGATAACTCATCCTGCTTCTTCTTCCATTCGTCCCGTTCATGGGTCATTGCCTCGTATTCTTCCAATTTGGCGTGCAATTCTTGTCAATCTTTTTCTATCTTGTCCAGGGTTTTGATCGTTTCCGCAGTCTGGATTTCGATCTCATTCTGCTTAACTTTATTAGATGGAGGAACGGCTGTTGGAGAGTCCACCGAATATGAAGGGTCCGGCCCATTGCGTGATCTCTCGAATCCAAGGAGCGGCTGCGTAGAGGAGTAAATGCGGTCGGGTAGGGGCATCGCTTTTAACCTATAGTCCCTTTGCTCACCCAATCCTGGCTCACGAGACAAATCGTAACCCGACATCTTTCCAAATCGCCGTCGCAAGAGGCTATTTCGGCCCTTTCGGCTGTACCGCCGTACTCGCCAAGGGCTAATATCAAAACTACCTCCAAGGGGCGGTCCCCGCGGCCCTCTCTTCCCATTGCATTCAAGAGTGCGACGATGAACATCGCCAGCTCCGTATCTGCCAGTCCGAAGTTGCAATCTAGTAGAAGCTGACAAATCTCGTCCACAGTCGTTCCTAGACTCGCTGAGATGAAATCCATGAGGTCGTTAGTGTCGCTCATCTTCTCGTTCGTTTAGATTTCTTGTGTAGTGTTCAAGTACAATAAACAAGATTTGATCAATCATGATCTAAAAAACAAGTCGCAACTCACGAACTGTTATTCAAATTGTTTCATCTTAACGATGAAAATTCGTTTGTATCACTAAAAAACAGTCAGTTGAAACTTTCTTTCTTCTGACCTAAAAATTAGCTCCAAGGTGGATCGACCTTAGATCCAAGGTGGATTTATGTGAATTTTAAATGATCAGATGCTGTCACCTAAGTATCTGGAATAGCCCAGGTCACATACCAAAATCAAACACAATCAAACAATTACTACGTGATCATAACTGGTTAGATATTAAATTCATCAAAAGAATCGCTTCAAAATAAGTTTCGAGTGAAAGTAAAAGTTTTTGATTTTTATAGTTAAAACAAAAACACAGAAAAAATTAAATAAAGCAAACTTTATTTCTCTTTTACCTTTGTCAATCCGACTATTCGTAGCATACAGGGGTGGGTCTTAGTTTTTCTCGAGGGGGCCGATTTTCATAAAAGTTTTTGAAATATTTGACAACCTGTTTTTAGTTCGACCAAACCGATTTTTCAAGCTCTCCCAGAGCACTTAAAAAAAATCTTTTTTTTTCACCAAATTTTCCGCGCTGCAGGCAAAATTGTGGAAAAAACAGGCCAAAAAGGCTTTCTTAGGTACTTTTAGGAAAATTTTAACCAAAATTGCGCGTTTTTTGGCGCACGCTCCCCCCTCCCCCCCTCAAAATTAGCAAATTTTGGCGCTGAATAGTAGTACAAAGGGGGACCAATGGCATGGGGTCCAATCACTCAAAAAGAGGCGTCCGTCCCGACCAAATAACCCCCCCCCCCTAAATCCGCCCCTGATAGCACAGACCAAAACATCAATTTTTGGTTGCGATAGTTTGAAAAACAATCACAATTGACGGAAGTTTAATCTCTATGATTGTTTTGGAGGAGAAGATATCACAATGCGTAAGCTCGAAAATCCAGGAAAAAATGAAAATAAATTTACTTCATCAGAAGCTAAATTTTGTTATATTGAAACACGTAATAGCCTAGCCGCGCCAAAAATCTCAAACGGCATCAAAAATTTAGTTTCAATGGATGAGAAATTCGCGCAAGTCTAATTAAAATTTATTTTGGTCGAGCCGGTCGCATATAGTTTTTCTTGACATTTAAAATTGTTTCTGAAATTGATTTGATGTACTTGAACTGATCTAATCGGTTTTGTTAGACAAAAGAATAGTACCCGACGAGAAGCAAAACAGAGGTTGGTGCCACTTGGTGCACATCAAATATAGCATGGCAAGCTAGCAGACAGCAAAAACACAAAGCTCTTCAGTTGAAAAAAGTGTTTGCAAAAAAAAATAAAATACTAGGTCTATTAGAATTTTCATAATTTTGTTTCGAGTGAAACTCATTCTGAGGAAACCATGTAGAAAAAAAAAACAATTGCTTGCAGTAAATAACCAAGCAGTTAACAAAGCGAAAAAAACTAAGCCAAAGAATGACATCACCTTAAAGCTCTCTGAAATTCTAGACAAGAATATCTCAATTTCAGCACGTATTTTACAAAAAAAATTCAGAAGTGTTTTTTTTGGCTGCAAAATCTGAAACAAATACATTAAATTTTGAAAAAAAGAAGAGATGAAATCTTTTTTCGGGCTATTAAAATTTATAATTGAAAGTGTCAATGACAAAAAGTTATAATATCAAAAACCGAGAAGTTGAGTCTCGATAGATACCTTGTTGAAATTTGCAAGATGATGCGGACCCAGACATCCGCGCTCAAACTACACATTTATCGGTTGTAGAAAAATACACATTCATTAGTTGTAAGTTAATTTGAATGAAAATATGAAAATGGTATAGGTCTCTGAAACAAAATTTGAACAAAAAACAAAAAGTGAACTAGTTTTTTGAAAGGTGATTAAGAACCGATGTTGGAAAAAAATTTCATCTCGAATTGTACTGTGTTCGAATATCTGCCTTTTATGTCAAGGGCCAATTTGTAATTTATAACAGCTAGCCGATATTCAGCTTCAAACTGTGACATTCGACCGGAATGTGTTCTGATTTAGTTTGGAAAAAGAAGCGTGAGATACATTGAAAATAGCACTAACTGACCTTATTTGCAGTACATTTTGGAGCTATATTGGACGTTGTGTAGAGTGTTAGTTGAATTTGATAACGAAACAGATCGACCAAAAAATGTCGACTCAAGTTTCGAAAACTTTTTCATCTCAAAAAATTTTGATTACTTAAAATCCCATTGTACCCAAATCTCAGTTTTTTGTAAAGCATTGTGTCTAGTTTGGCTATGGGGGAATGGTTGATTTTTAACAAAAAAGCTTAAGATATGCCGGTTGATATATTTTTCTTTACTTCGCCGATGTTAATTTCTGCTCATACATTTTCTGCTCATACATTTTGGCAAATTATTCGGAAAAAAAGTATATTTTTTCGCTAAACTAAATGTCAGGGAACGAAGTGAAGACAATTAACAAGGATGGATGAGTTTACATGCTAAAATCTGGTCAGTCCTTTTCGCGCTCAAAATTTTATGGGGTTTGACCTGGATTTTTGTTTGAAATTCAATTCACCTTTATTTGTTACTAGGAGAGAAAACTAAGCTCTTCAATTACAAAATAAAAACATGATGAAATCTAGTTTTGAAAGTTGAATAGTATTTTAGGATTTCCAAGATAATTGAAAAGATTTGCCGATTGACTTTAAAGGTTTAAATTCTGAAATTTCTTCAAGAATTGGAGATTTTTAGGGTGTCTATGAGTTTCCCAGGCTTCTGCAGGCTATGTTTGATTGAAGGGCAGCCGGAACATGTAGTGTGTCGCCCTGATACAAACAGTTTTGTTCTCTTCTACCGCATATTGAAAGAGCAAATTAATCCGTCAAGAAGTTCAATCGAAAGTGAACCAAGGCGTTGTAATTGATTCAAAAGCTGAAAAACATTTGAAAACAGGCGGTTTTTATTTGTCTTTCCCCTCTTGCAAAATTTAACTAGCACCAAGTTAACGTATATTGTCTGAATGTTATGAAAATTGAGAAGAGGACTAAACTCGCTATACCAACTCCTTATTTCTTCCTTATGTATTCCTTACTTAAAAACTTCTAGCAATCGAACAACGTGAACAAAAACACATTTGTAAAAAATCATAGGGAGGAGATAAAAAACTGTGAACTTGAAATATGCAAACTTTTGATCATTGTCCATTACCTTGTAAAAACACCTATTTCATTCTAAAACTGATGCGTATGTGAAGTGGTAAAATTGTTATTTAACAAATCAAGATATCATTCTGCAAAAAGAACTACATAAGACTAAAAGAGCAGTCGGAATATTCAGGACCTACTCCTGATTCGAGCATTTTTTTAATCTACTTTCAAAAAATGACTGTGACAATCGGATAAAGGGATTGTTTGTTTGATTACAATTTGTTGATTAAAAGAGCAAAACATGAACATTGATCAAAAACATAACATTGGTCAATCACTTAATTCTTGATGTTTTTTCGGTTATGACTCAAAAATAATTGAGCAGCTAACTTTGGTATGATTTTTTCACGTTTCGACTGGAGGACTGTTTATTTTGAACAAAAGTTGTTAAAACAAATGCAAAAATTATTATTTATGCTTGATGTATAAAATGCTTCTGATTTTTTTATGACATAATAATGACTTAAGACTAATTTAGCTGCTTAATTCAGACTTTGTGCAGTTTTTGGCTAACTTTTGAATCCAAATTACAAAAACAAAAGAATAAACAAAGAGCCGAACTGATAGCTGACAGTCCTCCGAGAAGCGCAGATCAACTTCTAGCTCTTAGAAACCGTCACATATTCTTGAAACTGTACTTTTTGTATATTGCAAACTCGTTCATTTCTATCAGTACAAGTACCTATGGTTCTTTTTAACAGCAACTTTGTGCCCAGAGTAAAATAGAAATTGAATCTTCAAATACAATCACTGTATCAGCAAGATTAAATTTTATGAAAAGAGAAAATTGATAAAAATGGCTGCACTTGAAGAAAAATTGCCACCAACAACAAGTCAACCCATCACCAGTTACGGGTACTTGAATGCGTCTGATTTTAATAGCGAAATAGCTGCTATTGAAGAAAATTTGGGCGCAATGAATAATCGATTAAGCGCACGTTCAAATTCTCAACCCAATACCGGAGCAGAATCTAAAACCGACGCCGGAGCAGAATCTAAAACCGACACAGGAGCAGAATCTAAAACCGACACCGGAGCAGAATCTAAAACCGACACCGGAGCAGAATCTAAAACCGACACCGGAGCAATTGACAAAAGAAAAAGAAAACCGAATAAAGTAGGACCCATAGATCAGAACAGGAACAGCGGGAAAAGTAACACAAAAACTACGAAAGAAAACTCAGAGGAAGAAGACAAAACAGATCAGAGTAAAAATTTTGCTCAATCATTTTTAATGCTGGGAAAATAGCATGCTTGATTGCTTGACCATTGGTCGCCAAATTTCATTTTTTATTCGGGTTTCAGTGATTTCAGGATGAAACATTCCAACATGTAACGTTTCTCCGCGCAAAACAACAAATATGGCTTTTTTCCGGCGTAGAAAACCATTGTGAAAAACTTTGAATGGCCCGTGAGCCCTTTGTGCTCCAAATTAAGGCAACCAAATTTTTTCCAGAAATATAAAACCACAAGTACGGGTCCGTTGAAATCGAGATGTATCATACGAGATACTATTAACCATTACTTTATTTTTTATCTTTAGATGGAGGCGATGATGAAGAAGAAGGTGGAATTTGGGCTTGCTGCGGCTCTTGTGAATGTTGTGAAGGAGACGAAGATGCAGTAGGGTGTGCCGAATGTTGCAGCGAGAACTGGGCATGCTGTGACTGTTGTGACTGCTGCGAATCTATCTGCTCCTGTTTGGAGTGTCTGGATCCTGTCGTTGCAGTGATCCCTTGTCTTGTAGACTGCTGTAATATGACATGCACAGTTGTCAATGGAGTGGCTAAATGTCTGAACGTAGTTGGCCAATGTTTGTCTATACTCGGCTGAAAAACTGACAATTGGATTTTGATCTTTCGAAGCTCATAATCATGGAAAATTAATTTCATTCTTAAATAAAAAAACACAAAATTTGTACAATTTACAGTCCAGTCTCAATTTGAGAGAACGTATTTAGCTCAAATGGGCAGCAATTTGGCTCCAATTTACGTATAGCTTAAAGCGGAATGAAACAGTATATTTTTCTTAATACTTTTTTTTCCATTTTTTTTTTTAATTCGTCAATTTTTTATAGCGAGCACTCCTCCATAGTTCTGAGAACGCGAGCGGAACATTCAAGGCTTTGCCCAGATACGCATAGTTTTTTGTATTATTATTTAATCATGTAATCTACTGAATTTTTCTTGCTTTCTGGAACAAAAACTTTTTCCAATTGCAAGTTTTGCATTTCTTTGCAAAATTTTAGCTTAGTTTGCATTTCAAGTATGCTAAGGTAGACGCCGTTTACTTTATATCAGCTTCATTAAACACAAAAAACTTGCTTGAGAATAGTCGAAGCATAGGTCGGGCACAATTGTAAAACAAGACTGCTCGTATAAAGGCGAAGCCGTGAATGTTCCGACTGCCTTGTAAGCTTAATGGAGCAGTAGTAACATAAAAAAAGTAAATGTAATAAAATATAATGAAAACTTTTTTATTAAAATTTGAAAGTTTTTATGAAAATCATCCCCCCATACGCCATATAAAACACATAAGGATAGAATTCGCTCCTTGAAACAAATCAATTATGGCAAACAAGCTTTTTTCAATCAATTTGAAACAATTTCTAAGACGGATTAACTCTCCGCTTACGCGTTAATAGCGCGAAATATATCGAGCGTTAATTGTCCCAAATTGGCCAAAATGGCAATCTTTAAACCCCCGTAACTTTACAAAAAATGGTCACAGGTAAAATATCTTTTCAAATTTGAGCTTAGGACAACAATACCTTTCGAATGATATTTAAAAATTCTGTCAAAAATGGATAGTTAAAAAGTCGAAATTTGTCTGAAGAAAAAAAAACCCACCCCGAGCACAAATATTCCGTTACTTTCGTATCGAAAGTCGAAACAATGATTTACTATTAAACATCAGTCAAACAGAGATGATAAATGATAAATGTCACAAAATGAATCAAATTATAAAGTAGAGTATAGCCGACACATATATACATACTTTTAATATATGGATCGGTGCGATTCAAAAGATAATACAAGCACGGTGTTATTATCGTTATTTATTGCCTTTCTCTCGCATTTGGTTTTTATTGTTAAAAATACGCGCTCATGAAAACCCAATTTCAGACATGAGGTTTGATCTGAAACAATTTTTGTTCCGACTTTCGATACGAAAGTAACAGAATATTTGTGCTCGGGGTGGGTTTTTTTTCTTCAGACAAATTTCGACTTTTTAACTAGCCATTTTTGACAAATTTTCTTTTATCATTCGAAAGGTTTTGTTGTCCTAAGCTTAAATTTGAAAAGGTATTTCACCTGTGATCATTTTTCGTAAAGTTATTGGGGTTTAAAGATTGCCATTTTGGCCAATTTGGGACAATTAACGCGCGATATATTTCGCGCTATTAACGCGTAAGCGAGATTTAACCCGTCTTAAAAATCGTTCCAAATTAGTTCAAGGAAGCTTATATGCTATAATTTATTTGTTAATAGGAGCAAAATTTATCACTTAGTACTTATTATGACGTGTGGGGGGATGATTTAAAAAAAAATCAAATTTTGGAAAAAATATTTTCATTTTATTACATTTAATTTTTTTTTGTTATTACTGCTACATAAACTTTAAAAGGCAGTCGGAACTTTCAGGGCTTCGCCCTGATACGAGCAGTCTTGTTTAATTAATAATCTGAACAGGCGTTTTTACATCAGAAATATCTAATCAAAAAGCAATTATTTGCTTGGGGTTATAATTAGAACAATCTTAGCCGTCAGTCATTTTATAATAAAATTTATATTTTTAGGTTGTTTTTGGCGTTTTTATTTAAGTGCGTAAAATAATAGTATAGAAGGTTCATAGCAGTAAATCAAATTAAAGAGACAATTGAAATTTTGAAAAATTCCATTGATGGGTCAAAACTGTTTCAGTCCTATAGCAATCCCCTATGAGCATCACTAGCCAAAACTAGCTTCTCAACTGCGGCCGAAGTATAAAAAACAACAGTAGGAAGTTTTTATTGCAAGATGTCTTTCACAGTTACGTGATCGTGTGCGTAATTTGCACGCGTCAAGGCTTTACGCCGATAACCGCTGTGCGTTGCCATATGCAGTTCAAGTCTTTGTAGTGACAAGGACGCAACATAGAGTAGCTCTGTCAGTAGGTCTTATTAAAAATTACTTTGAGCATTGAATTACAGATTTTTGTTATTGCGCACGCGATCGCTTTCGCCCTTAAGCGGTCAGATCCTGAGAGGAAGCTGTTTCTAGAAGTCGAATCAGCCAATTCAGTTGTAGCTACGATTCAAATAGTGTTCCATTAATTGAAGTTCAAGACTAATTGCTTACAAAACTGAAAAAAAAAGATGATGGCATCAGACAATTTATTAAGGACCTGAATCGCGAATCCGAGGTTAAGAAAAAACCCAATTTTAAGGTATGTTAGTCCGTGGCACAAAGTAAAATTGCGAGTTATAGTTGAAATATAACTGAATAATTTAAACGCCTATGCGGAGAACTTCGCGGATTTTAATTCAATCTAATTCAATTACTTCTGTTCAGTGTTTCTAGAAAAGCATGAAATTCAAATCTTACAACCCGAAAAACCCACCATTTTTCTATCCGATCTCCATGTCAACCTTAAAAAGGTCGAGAAAGCTCTCAAATTTGCTAAAACTTCTTGTATTACCAACGACCGCCTCCCAACCTTTATTCTTAACTACTGCAGTGAATTAATATCTCCTCTAGTCGTGCAGCTCTTTGTCAAGGTTTTGGAAACTAAAACGTGGCCAGAACTTTGGAAATGTGCGTTTATTACGCCAGTTCTTAAATCTAGTAATCCCGAAAATGTTGAAAATTATCGCCCGATTAGCATATTGCCTCAATTATCGATTGTTCTGGAGAGAATGATCTTCGATTTCATTTATCCTAAAATTCGGGCTAAAGTTACACCTGCTCAACATGGTTTTATGACCAAGCGATCGACTGTTACTCAGCTTCTTGAATACCTAGATCAGATTTATAACGACGTCGAGGCAAAAAGCGAATGTCTTTCTGTGTACTTCGATTTTCGCAAGGCTTTTGATCAAGTTCCTCATCATATACTTATTTTGAAACTTGGTAATTTAGGCTTTGACGTTAGCTTTCTTGAACTTTTTGCTTCCTATCTCACAAACCGCACGCAAAATGTCTTAATTAACAATGAAGCATCTCCAAAAGGCCATGTAACAAGTGGTGTTCCGCAAGGAAGTGTACTCGGCCCTTTGCTATTTATACTCTTCATTAATGACATGCCAGCTGTCTTGAAAACCTCTAAATGTTTTCTGTTTGCTGATGACAGCAAACTCTATTCAAAATATGACTTTTCCTTAGTTCAAATAGACATTGATCTATTTATCAATTGGACGCTTGAAAACGAAATGACATTTAATTCTGATAAATGCAAAGTTATTTGTTTTAACTCAACTTCCCCCAAATCTACACTTTGCCTTAATGATTACCCAATTCCGTCAGTTTCATCTATCAAAGATCTCGGAGTAACGATATCTAGTGATTTAAAGTGGGACATCCACATTAAAACCAAACTGGTTGCAGTTAACAAAGCTTTCCATTTCTTGAAACGTTCAATCCCTTATGGAGTATCCATGAGAACCAAATTCAAATATTACCAGCTATGTATTGTGAGTATTTTATTATACGGTAGTCAGGTCTGGTTTCCATCTTTAACATATCGCCGCAAACTAGAATTATTTAACAGAAAATGTTTGAAATGGGTAACGGGAGTCAACGACTATACAGAACAACTTAGAAAAACGAATTCCTTGCCAATTTCCTTCACTATAGCTTTACATGATATGTGTTTTCTTAATCGAGTCCTGACTGATCAATTTGATTTCAACCTTTACAGATACATAAATTTTACCTTTGCAGCCAAAGACCTTCGCAATAGCTCACGCCCTAAGCTTTCAACAACCCAGAATTGTCGACTCTTCTTTACAGAGCAATTTTTCTTCTATCGCGTCTGTCGGTATGCCAACATGATTTCAGCAAACAACATAGCCGACATTTTCTCATCGCCTGAAATTTTCAAAGCAAAATTGAAAATCTATCTGAAAAATAGAATTGATATGTTCAACTTAAACAACTCTTGTTCAATGCTACTTTGTTGCCATTGCATAAATTGCCGTTCGTGATGTCTTGTGTACATAATCATACCATTTCTTTTGTTTGATGCCTTTATAAGTTTGACAGTAGTTACGGGGAAAGGAAAGGGTTACAGTCAAAAGGTGTGCTCATGTGATTGAGGGTGTTATCACGTCATTGCCTGAAGGGACCAGAGGATCCATATTTCTGCAAAAAAGGTCTGAAGTTTTGCCGGAGAAGTTTCAAGGGTGAAAGTGAGGGTGATCGAGAAAAAGAAGCGCCATAATCTGGAGTGATTGTAAAATTTAATTTCAAAAAAGCCTTAGAAATAATAGCAAAGCAAACTCTTTCAAAATTTCTAGTTCAAAGTTCCGTACAAGAACACATGCAAAGGAGAAAATTGGTTGAAAATTTGTGACTAGCTTGACTAACAAACTGTTGGCGCGAGTTGAAGTCAGTTTGCAACAGATTGAATGAGTGTTGCAAAAAAATCTATTTTGAAAGTTTTCGAGAGCTGTTTCGAAGCCGTCGGTACAATTAAGAGCACCAACTAGGTGCGAATCATTGAAATTCGTCAGCTCATCTTATGAGAAAATAAAGCAATTTCGATCAAAAGAAAACAACAGGATAAAGTGTCAACAGAAAAGGAGAGCTCTGTGTTTTGTGTGTTAGAGTACATACAGTACACGAAAAAAAAAAACAGAGATACTGACAAGATCTCTAGCCTTGTCTCTATCTGAAAAAGATCCTAATATTAATCAATTTGTAAAACAAATTTACTAATTTAGGTTCAAATTGTAGACAACAAATTTGATTTGGTTGACTGAAACTGTTTTAGAGAAAATCATTTTTTGGAATACAATACCGTTA